ACCACAAATAACTCAATTTCGTTTCTTTTTATGGCTGAGTAATATTCCATCGTATATATGTGCCACATCTTCTTTATCCATTCATCTGTTGATGGACACTTAGGTTGCTTCCATGACCTGGCTATTGTAAATAGAGCTGCAGTGAACATTGTGGTACATGACTCTTTTAGAATTATGGTTTTCTCAGGGTATATGCCCAGTAGTGGGATTGCTGGGTCATATGGTAGTTCTATATGTAGTTTTTTAAGGAACCTCCATACTGTTCTCCATAGTGTCAGAGGTGTTTTGGGTTTGTGTCCCAGGATTTGAGTCTCTGGTCTCTTTGTGGGTGTGAGTACCCGGTCCGTCCATTCTTTGGTGTATTTCCCAGGATATGAATGCTCTGATCTGTTTGTTAGCATGTATCCTGGCATGCGACGTGTCTGTATTTTTATGTGCAAATGTTGCAGGGATTGAGGTCTGTGATCTGTTTGTGGTTATATGTCCCTGGATGCTGTTTCTCTGAAATGTTTGTGGGTGTATATCTCAGCCTGTGTGGTTTTTGATCTTTATGTGAGTATGTCACAGGATGTGAGGTCTGTTCTTTCGGGGCATGATTTCCTAGAATTTGAATTCTCTGAGCTGTTTGTATGTGTGTGTGTGTGTGTGTGTGTGTGTGTGTGTGTGTGTCCCAGGGCGTGAGTTTCCTGATCTGTTTGGGTGTGTATGTCTCACAATTTGAGGTCTCTTGAGTTGTTCAGTGTTCTGCATCCAGCATATTTTCTTTGAATTATACTTTAGAGTCTATATCCTAAGTCTCAGAAGGATTTCTGAATCCTGGATTTGGGGGTTCTGAGCTTCCTCTGGTCTACATTCCAGGGGTGAGTTCACTGAGCTGTTTGGGTGACTGTCCTAGAGTCTGTGGTCCCGTTTGGGACATATTTTCAGGTGTGAAGTCTTCTTTTCAGGAGGCCTCAGTCCCAGGGTGTGAGCTATCTGACTCATTCGAGGTTTGTTCCAGGGTCAAGTTCTCTGAGCTTTTAATGGGGGGATGGGGGTGGGTGGGTGCCGGTTAGTGGGTTTTCTGAGCTATTTGGAGGTCTTTATTCGGTGTGTGAAATCTCTCAACTCTGTAGTGGTCTCTGTGCAGAGTATGATGTCTCTGAACTACTTAGAAGTCTCTCTTTCCAGGGGAGAGGTGGCTGAGCTGTTTGGGTGTCACCCCTCTGATCCGTTTTGAGCCCATGTCCCAGGGAGTGAGCTCTCTCTGATGCTGGGGGTTTTGTCTTTGGGTGTGATTTTTCGGGGCAGTTTCAGGATCTGCTTCCAGAGTTTGAGGTCTTTCTGCTGAGGTCTTTCTACTGGTTCAGACCTCTGTGTGCCAGAGTGTGAGATCTCTGATCTCTGTATCCCTTGATATTGAGGTCCCTAACCGTTGGGGTATGTTTCCAAGGGTGAGGTAGCTCCTGTTGGGGGAGTCTCTGTCCCAGGATGTGAGGCCTCTGACTTACTAGGGGGTCTGTTTTCAGGGTTTGAGGTCTCTGAGCAGTTTAGGGTTCTGTCACCAGTTTATGATGTCTCTTGGGTGTTTGGGGGTCCGTGTCCAGGTTATTATGTTTCTGAGCTGTGTAGGGGTCTGTCTCCTAGGGTGTAAGGTTTGTCAACTCTGAGTATTTTGGTGTTGTATGTCTGACATGTGAGGTCTCTGGCCTGTTTGTGGGTCTACTTTCCAGGCTGTGAGGTTAATGAACTCTATGGGGGTTTCTGTCCCAGAATGTGAGGTGCTTGTGTGTGGGCACACGTAGCCAGGATGTGCTGTGTCTGAGCCGTTTTTGTGCCTCCATGATGCGAGGTCCCCAAGCTGTTGTGGGTCTGTGTCCCAGTTATGAGGTCTCTCTGCCATTTGTGGCAGACTTTGCCTAGGTTTGTGAGGTTTCTGGGCTGTTTGGTGATCTGTGTCCATAAAGGTCAGGTATCTGAAATCTTTCTGGATATGAGTACAAAGTGCAAATTCCCTGAGTGGTTTTGAGGTCTGAGTCCAAGGTGTGCTATTTCTCAGTCGTTTGCGGGTCTGTGATTTTTGCTGGGGATGTTAGCCTAGGATGTGAGGTTTCTAAGCTGTTTGGGGTCTGTGTCCAGGACGTGTGACCTCAGAGTTATCTGGGGTCTGTATCACAGGACCTGAAGTCTAGAAGCTGTGTAAAGGATCCATGTCCAGATCTTCGGATCTCTGAGCTCTTCTGTGAACTAGAATATGAGGCCTTTGAGCTGTTTGGGGGTCTGAGTGTTTGAAGGCTCTATTTGGGGGAAATCTGTGTTCGGTACGTGACATCTCTGAACAGGAATCTGTCGAGAGTGTGACGTTGCTGAGCTGGGTTAGGTCCCGTGTCCCAGCGGATGTGATTTTGGTGCTGTCTAGCATCATGTTCGTGTTGTGAGGTCTCTCAGCTGTCTGGTGGTCTGAGAAGAGGGTTTGAGGTCTCTGAACCATTTCTCCAGCTTTACCCAAGTTTGTAAGTTCTTTAAGAAGTTGGTGGGTCTTTATCACCAGCTGTGAAGTCTCTGAGCTTTGTGGGGGCCTGTAGTCAGAATTTCAGGTCTCTGAACTCTTTGGGTATGTATGTGGGTTGCAAAGCGTGAGGTCTCTGAAATGCTTGGTAGTCTTTCCTAGGATGCCCTGACTCAACTGTTTAGGGGTCTGTGTCAGAAGGTGTGAGGTCTCTGAACCATGTATAGATCTGTTTCCCAGAGTCGGAATTCTCTGAACTGCATCTGTTTCTGGGCTCTGAGATCTCTAAGCTCTTTGGGGTCTGTGTTCAAGACTTGAGTCTGAGTTGTTTGCGGCACTGTGTTCTAGGGAGCAAGGGCTCTGGGGTGTTTAGTGCTCTGTGTTCCAGGGTGTCTCAGCAACTTGGGGGGTCCATGTCTAAGGTATGAGGTTTTGGAATAACTTAGGGATCTGTGTTCAGAGTATGAAGTCTCTCGGGTGTTTGGGTGGTCCATGTCTGGGGTGTCACATCTCAGCTGTTTTGGGGGGGTTATCTGAGGCTGTGAGGCCTCTGGGCAGTTTGGGACTCGATGATCAGGGTGTGAAGGCTCCAAATAGCTTGGGGAGCAGTATTCCAGATTGTGAGGTATTTGAGATGTTTGTGCATCTCTAGCCCATGAATCCAATGCAGTGTATGAGGCAGCATCTGAGGTCTCGGAGTTCTTTGGAGGTCTGTGTCCCCTGGCTTCAGTGCAGCCTCAGTGATGTGGGGTTTGTGTCTAGGTATGAGATTGCTGAGCTGTAGGGAGATGTATGTCCCAGGGTGTGAGGTCCCTGAGGTTTGGGGTCAATATCCAATGTATAAGGTCTATGAGCTGTTTGGAGGCTCATGCCCTAGGTGCCCTGAGGTCTCTGAGCTGTTGAGGATTCTGTCACCTGTGTGTGAGGTCTTTGAAATATTTGGGTATGTGCCACAGCATGTGCAGTCTCTGAGCAAAACCAAAGGGCACTGGCTCACGTTCAGGTTGAGGGGTGATAAAAACAAGTACATATACTTGAAACGCCATCTCGTTGTTATCTGCTCTATACCCTGGCACGTATAGGTGCTCAATAAATATTTGCAGAAAAACCTTCCCCCAGCACACACAAACTTTTCTCTTTGAATGCAGTAGGCAGGCTTTGGGCTCAAAACTTTGAAGAGCAGGGAGGATCCAGCTAGAATTGTGTCATATTTCTGTATCTATCTCCACTGTATTTCTCTGGGTTTTTTTTATGGCCAGTGATAATGGTTTGTCCATTTAAACAGCAATGGATTTAGTTTGCTTTTTCAGTGCATTATAAAATTTAAGTATAAAGCAAGCTTATTTTAGGTCAGGATGTTATGTAGACGACGGTGCAAGTGGTGCACTGTGGGGAGTGTTAGTCAAATGGCTGAGGTTGGAGGACCGCGTTCCTGGGCGCCCCCAGCTCCCAGCCTCTCATCTCCCCAACCCCCACCTACACAAGGTCTTCAATCCCCACACCTTGGTTTGTTCAGTCAATAATTTGTTTTATTGATGCCCATCCCAGGCTGGGTAGGGCTGAGGGATATACAAGAGAAGAATCAGATTCAGTCCATGCCTGAAGGTCAGTCTGGGGTGGGGAGCACGGACACACAGACGGACATACAAACGGACACACAGATCTGGTGGCAGGGCACACAATGTCACGTAGGGACACTACACACAGGTAGTCAGGGAAGGCTTCCTAGAGAAGACCTCACAGGGGAAGCAAGGGGCGAGGCAGCCATCAGAGCCTTCACCTTTTGTACATTTGTGGGCAGGTAACTTTTGAGACCAGTGGACCCAAGGTGAGCACAAAGGGCCAGGGCTGGGAGGCAGCAGAGGCTCCCCTCGCCTCACCACACCCTCGTGGATAAACCATCCCCACCCCCATTCTTGGCCTGCGCTTTGCCTTCTGCCACATGGGCCCGTTCCTGGGATCCACCTCCATTGTTTCCAAGGCTTCCCTGAGACAATCCACATGGACCAGGTGCTCTGCCCAGTGCCTGGCACCTCATCAGCACCCCATCAATGCACATTTTGTCCTAAGTGCTATCTACAGCCTAGCCAGGTCTCAGTTCCAGCTCTGGGTACTCCCAGCAGTCGTCGCACCCCGGGTTTAGAGCTCCCAGCACCCTTTGAGCTCCTGAGAGCCCTGGGCACCTTCTATGTACTCCCAAAGGCAAAGCTCAGTCCCAGCCCACCTTAAGGGCTGGGAAAGTCTGGACTGCCTTTCACTGGCCAACAGGCCATGGGCATCCACTGTCCTTCCAGTGGCATGTGGGTGTCCACTTCTCAGACGCACAGCCCTGAAAAAGAGACCCTACGGCTCTTAGGCCGACACTAGGAGCATGCAAGCATAAGCAGGAACCAGCCTCAGACCCCAGCCTTGGAGACCCCCTTTCTTTCACTAGCACAACGTTTCTGTGGTAGGGGAGACGAGTGGGCTGGGAACCCTGGGCTCTGGTATCAGCCTGTCCTGGGGCCGCTTCCCCACACCCTTGGGGCAGTGGGGAGAGGGCCTGCAACAGACCCCTCAAGCTCCAGGCAGAAGCAGGTGCAAAAACAAACGTCTTTCTATTCTGGGTCTGGGCTGGGGCTCAGCCCTTGGACCTCCTTGCTAGGCGATGAAATCCCAACTGCAGAAAGTCCTGGTGCTGAAAAATCACTTCCGAAGGTGGGCAGGGGTAAGTGCAACCCACGGATGGGGCTGGGACAGGGAGAGGGAACTCCTGTAGTCTGTCCTCTCCATGGCCCCGCAGCACCGAGCATGGGGCAGGTGGGGGCAGGCAGAGGCAGGCAGGAGGCCCTGGCAGTCGTTCCTCAACAGGAGGGCAGCAGTGGGTGGGTGGGGTACGCATATTTAGGCCCCCATGGTCAGTCTGGCCTCAGACTTCAAAGGGCTAGAAGAGGTATTTGCGGCAGGATTCAGTCCCACACTTGCATTCAATACGGACCCGCTTCTTGGGGGAGCCGGGGAGCCCGGCCAGGCCAAAGTTGGAGTCCATGCGGGTGCTCTCCATGTCCACGGGGTCCACTGTGGAGTCATAGCCGGGGGTGGGGGGGTACTTGTTAGATAGAAGGCCTAGATGAAGTAGTCCCACTGCCCTTTTTACCACGGGACCCAGGGATCTTAGGGGCTGGGAGCAGGTCTGAGGTCTGGGTCAGGAAGGGGTCATGGGGTTGGTGGTTTCAGGCAAGGGCCAGGGCTTAGCACTAGATGGGTGTTCAGGTATTAGGAAGATGGCCAGGGATTGGGGGTTCTTGGAGGAGGGGTGTCAGGGAGCTGTCAGGGGCAACCAAGAGGGTTGTGTCAGGCAGGGGTTAGGAATGGAGGGTCACCTGGGCATCCAGAGGGGCATCTGAACTCTCCTGCCAAAGATCCCCCCTCGAGTGTCTCAGAGGTGGCTAGTTGGTCAAGAAGGGGACTGGTTGGAGGCCACAAGGGTGTCCAGAGGCTTAGAATGAGGAAGGCCAAAGGGGGTTAGGAGAGGAGAGGGTTGGGGGACTGGGGAAATTCAGACAAGATTGGAGTCAGGAGGAGTGTCATAACTGTTGAGCCAAACATCCTCCCCCGGGAGCCCTGGGAGAAGGTGGCATGAGTGTATCAGAATTGGGGTCCAGTGGCTGGGAATGAAGGGACCCCCCAAAGGGTAGGCAGGGGTCCAGGAGTCCAGATATGAGACTGGGAGTAAGAGCATCTTAAAGTTCCTTGGGGAAGGGTCCTTGTGCCCCACGTCATCGTGTGTCCCTGCCCGCGGTCCCCTGCCACCCCCACCTTGCATGTTGTAATCGAAGGTAAGCTCCTCGCCTGCCCGGATGGTTCTTGTGGCAAAGAAAGCAATGCGGGGCAGCCGCTCATCAAGGTTGTCTATGAAGACGTTGTACACCTGGAGGTTGGGGTCACACTGGGCAAAAAAGAACAGTGGGAGGGTGAGGAGGGGCCCAGCCTGCTCCTCCCGACCCCCCGCCCGCCTTCGGGGTACCCACACTGTGGTTGACAAAATGGGAGATGTTGCCGTAATAGGCGGCGTCCACGGTGTACACATCCTCCACGTAGTCCAGGTCGAAGAGGTAGGTGGCGCCCTGGCGGTCGTAGATCTGGCCCCGCCGCTCTGCCTCCTCTGAGGTAATGATCTGAGGAGAAGGCCACAGGGGAGGGGAGGTTGGCCAAGAAGGTTCAGGAAAGCCAGCACAGCTCCCGACCCCCTAGCATGGCCCCCCCTGGAGGAGAACAAGGGAGCAAGGAGGCACCCGCACCCTGCGGCTGGCTCAGCGGGGCTGGGCGGTGTGTACACATGCGAAGCAGTGACGCACAGGGTGTGTCAGCCCTTCTCAGGCCTCTGGAGGGCACTGGGAGTCTCAACGGTAGGCGGAGGGCGGCCACAAGGTCCAGGAGTGACAGACAGAGGTCCCCATAGTGAGAGACCCATAGTAGGACATAGTGAGGGGACCCAGATCAAGGGTGAGAAAGAAAAAGACCCAGTACTCAACAGAGAGGGGTGGGGAGAGTGGGGGTGAGAGACGCTGACTGATCCAGGGCGAGAGAGCCTGAGGCGCTGCAGGATCCAGCTCTAGAGAACCGAGCCAGTGCAGGGCGGTGCAGACAGCAAAAGGAACATGGAGAGTAAGCTGAAGAGAGAGGCCTGGGAAAAGGGAGACTGAGTGAATGAGAAAGGGACTCAGAAGAGAGAGCTAGAGGCAGAGAGTTAGAAACAGACAGAATCTTAATGCAAAAGATCCAGGTCCAGTAAAAAGGCCCAAGACCCCAAGGAGTCTGAGATCACAAAAAAGAGACCAAGGCCAAAAACTCAAGAGATGGAAGAGGAAAGAAAGGGGACCAGAGCACAGAGTAGAGCACCTCGCTCAGCCCTGACACCGCACACTGCCAACAACTGGTATTTAAGACAGCAGTAGGCATTTCCTCCTCCCCAGATGGGTCCCCATCTGTCCTAGTAACTGGACCATTATCCTAGCCCAGCCTGTCCATGCCTCCCAAATGCTGGTGACGGATTCCTCACCCCAGCCCCTGCCACACCCCATGCCTCCTCTCCATCCCTCATGTCCCCTCTTCTGGGCCCATGCCTCTGGGTGAGGTCCCACGGTAGCCAAGATTGCCCCCTCCTCAGCCTGGGTGCCCCTAGACCAGGGCCGGCCTCGTTCTCCACTCCCAGGTTTCTGCCCGGCCCTCAGACACAAGTGCCAGTACAGTACACAGCAGACACACAGCAGATGCCCGTTATTTGTATCCTGCTTTCTAGCTCGGAGACCTGACCTCTGTCCAGCAGTGGTCCTATAGGCAACTCAGGCACTCTCTTCTCGCCACACCCCTTATTCCTTCCTTCTCCCTTCATCAGAGACCCACTGCCCACCACCACCCTCCTGCCACACTGGGCATAAGCCCAAGACCCACCCGGGCCTCCTTCCTTGCTCATCCTCAAGCCAGCCAGTGACCTTGCTCTTCCTACTTCTGGTCTTGACCAGCCTCCGTTTTCTCTAGCCTCCTCCCTGCCTCCTCCACCATCACCTCCAGCCTCTGCTCCGTGCTGAATGCCAATCAACAACCCCCTTAGAAGACCAAGGCCTATCCCTCAGGCCGCACTGCTCACTGCCCCATACTCCAGCTCCATTCCTTGAGGAACCTGGTTCCCCCATACCCTCAATTTTTGTTTGTTCACTCATTCATTCAGTGGATTTTCATGAGGCCTACCCTGTGCCTGGTCCCAGTACTCAGGGGTTACAGTTGGGTGGGGGAGACACAGGAACCAGGCTTGGTCCTGGCCCTCAGGGGTCAATTTGGTGGGGAAGTCACAGGGACCAGGTCCAGTCTGGCCCTCGTGGGTCACAGTCTGGTAACATAGATGGACTCAGACACCCACAGTGCTTAGAGTTTAAGGGGCAGTGGAAAAAAGATACACCATCAAAGCAAACTGCAGATCACACAAGGGCTTTGACCAGATTGAAAAGTGGGGACTCTCCTGAGGGACAAAACAGGAGCCACAGAAGCATTTTGAGGAAGAGTACATCAAGGTCAGTTTCCCTCCACCTCCCAGAGAACACATACTCTTCCTTGTGACATCAGCTCCCAAAGATGTCACTTCTCTGTGCAGCCTTCCTGAAGCTCCCAATCCCCACCCACCGCTGCCTTCAGAAGCCTGGGATCAAAGGACAGCCTCTCCTGGGCTCATGAGCATACTGGGTGGTGTCTGGGCCAGCTTTTCCCTTTGGGCCCCTCCCCAACCAGAGGGAATGCCCACCTCCTCCCCAGTCTCCATCTTCCTGCCTGTTCTGCCCCTACCTGCTCCCCCAGTCTCCCCAGGAGTGAGTCACACTGCAAACCCTGCAGGGCACAAACGGTTCCTTCTCTCTGTCTTCTTTTCATTCCCACTCTGTAAGGGGTGGTCCACCCTGAAAACTTGAGAACAAATCAGTCCATTTCCCTGCTCCCCAGCAATTCTCTGGAGTGACTGGGGAAGACAGATGGGCTAGAAGCTGGCAGCCGGGAAAGGGTTTTGATGGGAATGGGAACCAGAAGACTCAGAGTCCAGTTGCTGCTCTGCCCTGTCCCGGATATGGGATCCTGAATGTTCTCTCCCTGCCCGTTTCCTCAGCCAAACCCCCCTCCCAAATCCAAAAAACAACACTCCACCAGCTTTGGCAGCACACCAGTTTTAGACATTTGGGCCTTTTTTACCCACTTTACTAGCTTGGTGACTGAGCACTTTACTATACCTCTCTGGGCCTCAGTTTTCTCATCTGTCGAATGGAGATGACAGTGACAATCATCCCAACCTGATAGGGGTGTTGTCAAAATCCAACAAGATCAGAGATGTGAGAGGGATTTCTGTTTGTTTTTGTGTTAGGAGTGGTTATGAGTACCGTAGCTTGTCAAAATCTAACAGGCTCCCTGATTTTGTGCGCCCTTTCCCAAGAAAGGAAAAACTGCTGCTAATTAAATGATGATATGCCATCATTTAATTAAACTAAAGCGAGACTCACTTTCATTTCAGAGTTGTTAAAATATGAAGAAAGTGCGTGTTTCAGAATTGATAAAACAGGCTATGTTCTCTGCTGGGTGAGGGTGGAGATGTTCTGACAGAACGTGGAAGGGCAGCTCACGTGGAGGGGCTGTCAGTGCAGAGGTGGAGAGTGAACGGAGGTCCAGATTGAAGGAGGACAGTGTGGTGAACGGGTCGGGGATGTGCCCTTGATAACACCCGGTAGGACAGCACTGCAGGGTCCCCAGAAACCGCCATGTTTACAGCGTGGAGGAGTAAGGACACTAAGGAAGAATGGTGGGAAAAGTATTGGGCCCAGGGGACCTTGGGGTGCCAGTGAGATGAAGACTCTTCCTCCTCCTTGCCTGTCAGGATTCTCCTGTGCTGTTGACAGCTCCTCCAAAGACTGTCAGTGCAGTGAAGCTAGGGATACCCACTGCTCTGGACTTCCTCTACGACTGTTGACTCCTGTGGGTATGGACACCTCATCCCCTGCACTGCTAACATAGCTCTGGGGTGTGACATCTCTTCCACACTGTCACTGTCCCTCTAAGGTCTGGACATCTCCACCAGAGTGTCAGGGCGCTGAGGGTGTGGACACTTCCTCCAGGCTGTCAGAGTCTCTTAGGTGTAGACCTGAGCTCCTTCAGACTGTCACTATCCCTCTGGAGTGAGGACACTTCACTTTCCTGAGTGTCAGGGCAGTGTGGGTGTGGACACTTCCTAAGTCAGACCGCCAGGGTCCTCTGGAGAGCCTGCTCTCTTCCTCAGGTCGTTCTGGGACATGGACACCTCTTCCTACAGATTGTCAGGACCCGCCCCCTTCTCTAGACTGTCAGGAACCCTCTGGGCTGTGGTCACCTCCTCCTTCCTCTAGACTGTCAGGTCCTTCAACATGTGGACATTTCCTCCACCCGACCACTGGGATTATCTGGGGTGTGGACATCTCCTTGTCCAGACTGTCAGGGTCCTCTGCAGTGTGGACTGCTCTGCTTCTAAACGGTCTCTGCCCCGCTCCCAGCCCCGGGGGCTATGACCCTCTCTACTTTACAGTTCCTCAGAGCAGGAGCCTCTCCTCTTCATCAGTGTTATCACTACAGTGTAGACATCCTCAGGTGTGCATCCCTTAGGCCAATTCTGTCACTTCCCAGCCATGTCATACCCCTAAGAGACCCACAGAAATACGGAGGTGTTTGGGGTTGTCATCGTGACAAGGCACACTCATGGATTTAAATGGTCAAGGTCCAGGGATGTTAAATGTTCCCCAATGCATGAGACGGTCCTACGTAACAAAGAACTGCCCCACTCCAAATGCCCACCACGTCCCATCTTAGAAGATGACACTTGCTGTTGCAGATACTTGCTAGTTATTCACCCAAATCCCTTTTCGTTTTCCACTTGGGCATATGGCTGAATCACACTTCACAGCTGCTTTGCACTGAGGTAAGGCCAGTGACTCAGTTCCAGCCAGTAGGTGCGGGCAGACATGATATGCACCACGTCCAGGCCTGGCCTCTTAGAAATCTCCCCTTCTGCAAACCCCAGCCTACTTGCCAGGCAATGCTGAGGATCAGAGGCGACTCTAAGGCATGGCACAGGCACAAGAGGGAAAGAACCTAGGTGGCCACGCCATCGTGTGGAAGGATACGACCCAAATGCCCACACTGGTAGAGCAAACGGACTTATAGCATGCAAAGCCATTAAGATGTGGGGCTCGTCTGGTCCAGCGGCTAGCCTGCTGGACACAGCCCGCCTTTCCCCAGTGTCCTGCGCGGCTAAAAGAGGAGGTAGCCAACCTCCCCAAGGCATGTCTATGTCCTACTCCAGACTGTGTTCCTTTTGTGCAGATAAGTAAAAGGTGCTCCTTCTGGGTAGACACAGCTTGGTGATAAGCTGGACCCTCGTGAAATGAGAAGAGGAAGTGCCTTTTCAGGTGACGCAATCCTGTGCAGACCACACGGCCTGTTAAAAGGAACGCTGCCTGGATTTCAGTTCCCGCTTTCCTCTTTGCTAGGTACCCTTATGAAGTCAACCCAGTCTGGAGGTATTTCAACGTGCCTTTACCAATTTGGAATACTCGCCCCTGCCAGGATGTCCCTCTCACACTCAGGTTAACCCCTTCAACACCTTTCCCACAGGGAAAGCAGGGAAGCTGCAGGCACACAGTGGGGAGAGCTGGGCGCGCACGGTGGGAACACACGTGGGGAGAGCTGCGCACAGCCCCGTCTCCCTACCTCTCCCACGTACTCCATGACGAAGCTGTTCTTGCGGATCTTCTCCAGCGTGCGGACACCCCAGCCACGTCCATCATCCGTGCGGAAGATGCAGAGGTCATAGCGGATGCCCTTCTGTACCACGCGGTTGGGGCAGTCATAGCCACAGCGGCAGCGGGAGTTGCACTCGTAGATGGGCAGCCCGGCTCGCAGGCGCACCTGGCCCTGGTCATTGTAGGCAAACTTGTGCAGCGATGCCCCAGGGCAACAGCCTCCAGCAGGTGCCCACAAACAGTCTTGGCACTCGCAGCCCACAGCCACCTGGTTGAGGGTGATGCCCTCACCAACACGGTACTCGTTGATGTACACGAAGGCCCGTGGGGGGCCATCCAGGTCCACCTCGTTCTCCACGGTGATGCGTCCCAGGTGGCTGCGCTTGGCGTTGAGCTCCTGCTCCCAGCGCCGGAGCGCCCGCCTCTGCTTGGCCTTCTGCACCAGGTAGTTGGCCAGGCTTGGGTCCAGGTGCCGGGGTGGCTTTGACCGGTGGTGCCGCCGGAGCAGCTCCCTTTCCAAGTCCTTGTGAAACTGCTTGAGAATGCGCACACACTTGAGATTCTGCCGTGGCTCCCAGGTGCTCTCTGAGTCTGGGTACCCACGCCATTTTACCAGGTAATACTCCTGTTCCTGGGGGGTGGGGTGGGGAGGGATGAGGTCACTGTAAGTGACAGACGAGACCCTTGGGCCAGCCCTCATGGGACTTCCATCCCAACGCCTGTGGACAACACCCAAACTGTTCCCCCCGTTTCCTGGAATGACTCTGTGCAGTGGTTAAAAAGCATGGGCTCTAGAGTGAGGTTCACTGGGTTCAAATCCCTCGCTCCCGCTTACTATCTGTCTAAATCCCAACTTTTAATTTAATCTCCCAAACATATTCCCTCCTGCTAGCTGTTCAGCCCAGCTCTCCAAGTCATCCTTGACTACTTTTTCTCACACTCGCCACATCCACTCTCAGGAAATCCTGTCAGCCCTGCCTTCAAGCTACATCCAGAATCCTACACTTCACACCTCTGTCACCGTCACCACCGTCATCGCTCGCCTGGAGTGCAGCAGCAGCCTCCTCACCTGTCCCCCTGCTTCCACCCTTGCCCCTACAGTCTGTTCTCCACACAGCAGCCAGAGGGATCTTTTCTTGCTGAGCGGCAGCTATAGGATAGAGTTTAACTACACAGATTCTACAACTAGACAAATCCTGAAACTGCCGCTCCCTAGCAGTGTAAACTTAGGCAGTTATTTAACCTTGCTGGGCCTGTTTCTTCATCTGTAAATAAGAAAAAAAAAGCTGACATTTTTCTAGCATTCGTTATGTAGCAGGTACTGTTCTAAGCAACTTACATGTATTAACTAATCTAACCCTCACAACTCTATATGAGGTAGATACTACTAATTATACCCATTTTATAGATGAGGAAAATTAAGTACAGAGAATTTGGGTAAGTATCCCAGGGTTACAGAGCCAGGATCTGAACCCAAGCATGCTGGCTCCAGGCTGCTCTCTCAACCATCCTGCCATTACCTCCTCTGGCAACAATAACAGTTCCCATTTTGCAATGTTGCTGGCAGGATTAAATGAGTTTCTGAAAGGATGTGCCTGGCAGGCAAAGTGCTCAAAACCATTAGCTGTCATTATCTCCACTACTGGGCTCAACATCTCAATCTTTGCAATTGGTTTGTATTCCTAGGGAGGTGGGAGGAGAGATTTATCTGGGGATTCATTCTGGCTCCTGCCCCTCTCGGAAAGCCACTTAGTTTTCCCACCTGTAAAATGGAGATGATAAGAGGGCCTACTAATCCTATTTTTTTAAGATCAGAGGAGAAAATTACTTTTGGAAACAGATGTGGGTAATTGGGGGTAAGGGGGCAGGAAGCCAGCTTCCTTGAGTCACCCCTGCCCCGGCCATGGTCACCCCAGACTCACGCGGATCTTTTTGTAATCGCACAGGTACTCGACTTCAAAGTCATAGAGATTCCTCTTGGAGATGCCAAGGGCAGGGCAGGAGAGTTTGGCCAGGCGGCACAGGTCCTGTAGCTGATTCCAAGAAGACTTGCAACACACACTGCAGCCTAGAACAAAGGGGGCCATGAAGGAACTATTGCTGGGCATCCTGGCAAGGCCAGGGGTCAAAGAGGACCCCAAATCTTCCCTGGGACTTCCAAAGGACTACCTCAGAGTCAGTGAAATTTAATCCACAGGCCTTCCCAATGCTAAGATCCTTCTACAACAAGAATGTGCCACTCCCATCTACCCCAATGCTCACTGTCCAAGGCTTTCCCTGGAGCAGCAGACTTCCAAGTGGGATCTGCTGCATGGATTGTCCTAAAGGAATCTATTCCGAGAGCTTCCAGCTCCCTCTGTACCATTCCTTAAACTGCCTGCAAACCTGCCTGGAGTTCAAGACCTAATCATCCTTCTCCCCACTTTGCAAAAGAAAGAGAACAACCCCCTCCATCTCAGTAGGGTGCATTTCTCCAAGGTGTGTGGGTAGGGATGGGATTAAAACCTCCAGGGCACCAAACAAAGGCGTAACTAGAAAGACTGGTCCATAATCCTTTATCTGAAGCTCCTGGGGCCAGATGTTTTGGAATCCAAATTTCTTTTTTAGATTTTACAAGTGCAGTTCTAGGTATATCCCATACATTCCCTAACACACCCCTAGTGTGGTCAGGACATCAAGACATAATCAAATACATTAATAGTTCTGTAGCAAAAGTCTGAATTGTCACAAACATAGGAGAAATAAAGCTGCAAGATAGTGGCACTGAACAGTCCCTCCATCTAGCCTAGTTTTACCACTGAATGATACCAAATTTAAGTTTTCAGGGCTTTTTGGATTTCAGAATTATGAATAAGAGATTGTGGAGTGGTATTAGATTACAGGAAGCTTCCCCAAATGGTTAGTGCAGGTGCCTTAAACCCACAAGGTATATTTTTTCACACTGCATTTTGATTTTCTCTGTCTCATCCACATTTCTGTGAAGGGTAAAGCTGGCCCAAAGGGGTGTGCTCTGAATTCAAGAACAGACAGAACAATATAGGTTAGTGACAGCAATTATTTTAAATATACCTGGAATGTTTTGGGGGGCTACCAAAAGTTTTCAGGACACACAGATTTTTTTACTTAAAAAGGCTTCTTTCGGTTCAAGGCATATTCTTAATTACTGTGCTTTAGAAGCCATTTTATCAAATCATTTCACAAAACGCTTATTCCAAATATAATCAGTCAGTCCTTATCCTATTTCATCTTTTAAAAATGTTTAATATTTTCTACCTTCCATTACAAAAACCAAACGTTTAAACTCATGATGAAATACTCTAGATGTCAACCTACAAATGTACAAGAGCTTTGCAAAATTATTACGTGTGCATTTCCCCCCCCCTCCACTTAGGCAGGCCTAGTGGAGACTCGGCCTGTACCCACGCCTTCCTTTCCCTGTGATGCCTCTCCCTTTCAAACCCTTAACTTGCTTTTGAAGCCCCGCTAACGTGGTCCCAACTCACATCAGCTGCTGTCTCCGCACTGACCACAGATGGACTCTCCTACCCTCAGAGCTCCCCCTCACACCTGTGGAACCCATCCTCCCCGCAGCTTCCCTCACCCAGAGGGGCCCACCTTCCCCAACACACTGAGTCACCCCTCCTTCCCCGCGCATGGGGGAGTCCAGCTCTCCCATTAGGGAAGCCCCCTTCCCCTCTTCCTGGGCGAGCCCTCTCTGCCGCAAACCCCTCCCCCACCACGCTGCGAGGAGATACCCTCCCCCAGAAGAGTCCCCCGTCCCCTAACTCTGAAAAGGAGGTCCGTCCCCTTCCCTCCCCTCCCCTTCCGGCGTCTCGCGTGGACACCAAGAGGGTAACGGTCACCGGCGACCAATTTTCCCGCGCGCGGGCGCGGCCTCCCAGACAAACCCCCGTGCGTGCGCGCGCCGTCCGGTCGCGACCTGCGGCGCGCGCGCCCCTCCCGTGTCCCCACTTAGCCCCTTGCCCGCCGCGTTCCGAGGCACGCGCCCCCTCCCCTCAGCCCCGCCCAGCCCCGCGCGCCAGGCCCGCGCGCCCCGAGCTCCAGCCTTTCGGCGCCGAGCTTCCGGCTCCCGACCCCGTGGCCTCGGACGCCGGGGCCCCGAGCCAGCGACGCCACCCCTCCAGCCCACCCGGCCCGGCCAGCGGGCCCGCGTCGCTGCCGCCACTGCTTCACCTTTTAAATTTTCCGCCATCTTTCCCCACGGCTAACTACATTCGGGCCTAACCGGCCTCGCGAGAGGAGAGCTCGCGCGGGCGTGGCCGAGAACGCGCAGCCTATTGGCCGCGCCGCGCCGCGAGCAGCGCCCGCGCGGACCAACCGGCGAGCCGTGACCGGATCCCTCCCCGCCTCCCGGCTCGGTCCAGAAGGCGGGTGCTCGCCGGCGCTTTCCCAGAGTGCGTCTGGGAGGCGGAGGCGGCGGCGGCGGCAGCGGCAGCGGCAGCTGAGGTTGCCGGAGGTCCTGCCCGTAAGCCGGTCTGTCTGTCACACTGTCAGCCAATCACGTTGTCAGCCAGCTGCACTGGGGGATTCTCCGTCCTGTCAGACCCCCAATTACCGCCGTCAGTCCGTCACCACATTTTAACCCCAAGCAGGCCGTGACTCCCCAGGTGGATTACCTCTACATACAGCTTGCTCAGTCAGTCGCCCGACTCAAATCAGACAATCACCACGACCACTGTCTCATCAGACCTCCGCCCCCCATTCACGCTGTCAGTCTGTCAATAGCAGCATCCACTCGTGCCCTCGGGCCAGCTGCGAGGCCCTCAAGGCAGACACACGGCTCTGACAACAGCTACGCTACTCGCTGCTCGTCAGCCAGCCTGTCATTCCCTTAGACTGTCCCTTCATCGCACCGACAGTCGGTCCAGCAGCCGGGCTCTCTATCTACCCTGGCTCTGGGAGTAGCTCCGAATCCCCTGGGGAGAATCATCTCACCACCGCCCAGGAAGCCACAGCAACCAGCCGGGCCCTCGGGCTGGCTGTGATTATGTCAGGACAGGCTGTCATTGTCAGCATCTAATGTAGCCCTGGCCAGTCACGCTCTCCACTGTCAGTTGGTCACTCTGTAATTCCCTCAGGTTCCTCCTCATTCACACCATGATCAGGCACTTTATTCCCTCAGAGCACGTAGTCACAGCAGCTAAAGCCTCCAGGCAACCTGTCAGTCGTCAACAATCTGTCATTTCTCAGGCAAGGCATGCCCCCCATTGGTCGGTCAGTCAGCAGCCTCTGACCCCGGGGCCCTCTTGGGGTGGCTGTGATTCTATCCGTGGAAAGCCATGGGGTCAGGCAGCTATACTCATCTTTCAGTGGGTCAGCTGGTCTGTGACTCGTTCAGTCTGCCCCTCATATCAGTCAGCCAGGTAGCCATTCTCAGCATCCGACTGGCCACACGGTCTGTCGAGCATGCTGTGATTTGGTCAGGATAGACAGTCAGTCACCAGATACAGTTGCCTATCAGGCGGCCACAGATCTGTCCATCAGTCAGCCTGAAATTCCCTCAGGGTAGATCTCCTTTACACATCGCCAGACAGTGTAACATCCAGACAGCCCCTCGGGCTGGGTGTGATTCCTAGCAAGTCAGCCATTTGCAACATCCCGCCACCGAGGCAGGCAGCAACAGCGTGGATCATCAGTCAGCCAGCCTGTAAGTCCCTCAGGAGGCTGCCCATCTTTTGAACCATCAGGTCACCAGCCCCAGCCTGTCCCAGGCGGGCTGTAATTCAGTTCGATTTTCAGTAGCTCACAGTGTCAGGAAACTGCACTGTCATTTCCTCAAATTGCCCCTCTCCCTGTCAGTCCATGAGTTATGTAGTCAACCAAACGGTTATACAGTTAACCAAACGGTTATTCTGTGCCTGCCAGTCCAGCTGTGCACCGGTTGGAGAAATGGCTGGTCAGGCTGAGGTTCCATTAGTCCCTGCTTGCCGTGAGTGGAACAGTTAACAGTGAAGTCCCACCATAGATTCCCCTTCCCTCCCTTATTCCTTCTAGAACAGAGTCCGATGCTGGTCCTCACATGCCCCCAGTCTCCCCCGGCAGGCAGGACCCTCCCAATCCCAGGAGTCCAGGAGGCTTGTCCAACCCATGAAAGTGGTTTAAGGCACGACCTCTTTCTGCCTGAATCTGGGGGAAAATGTAGAGGTTTATGGGTATTGGGAAGCATCCCTTGGTCTTCCCCAAACAGTACAGTGTAGTGGGTAAAGGCTTGGATTCTAGAGCCCAAGTACCTGGGTTCAATCCCAGCTCCACCATTTACTAAAGTGTGTGACCTTAGGCAGTTTCTGCATCTGTAAAACCTCGGATGAATGACCTTGGGTGGGCATCTCCTACTCATCTAGAAAATGAATCTTTCTGGGGCTTCCCTGGTGGCGCAGTGGTTAAGAATCCGCCTGCCAGTGCAGAGGACACAGGTTTGAGCCCTGGTCTGGGAAGATCCCACATGCCGTGGAGCAACTAAACCCGTGCCCCACAACTACTGAGCCTGCACTCTGGAGCCCGTGAGCCACAACTACTGAGCCCACGTGCCACAACTACTGAGCCCATGTGCCACAACTACTGAGCCCACGTGCCACAACTACTGAAGCCCGCGTGCCTAGAGCCTGTGCTCTGCAACAAGAGAAGCCACTGCAATGAGAAGCCTGTGCACTGCAATGAAGAGTAGCCCCTGCTCGCCGCAACTAGAGAAAGCCCGCGCACAGCAACGAAGACCCAACCCAGTCAAAAATAAAATAAATACAATAAACAAATTTATAAAAAAAAAAGAAAATGAATCTTTCGGACTAGCACCTTTTCAAGAGACCTCAAAGTAAGAGGCTACCCTGTTATTACTGTGTCCTACTCCCAGCCACTGGTCTGTTCATTCAGGATTAATTTAGTGCCTAACTGTGTATACTTCATCTCCCAGTGTGAGGCCAATACAAGGTTTTATCCATTCCAAGCTGCACAAGTTTGACCTGCTTTTAATGTAAACCTCATATGGACTGTACCACACATACAGAAAAGCTCATAGACCATGGGTGACCCATGTCATGAGTTTCACAAGTGAACATACATGTGGAGCCAGAATGCAGGTTAAGGAACAACATCACCAGCCAGGGCTCCAGAAGCATTTAATTTTTTAACATCTCTGGAATCAGGCTGTGTCTTACAAGCGCTGATGGGTCATAATTTAATTGGCAGTACTTTTTTGTCTTTCTTAGCGATACATAGAATAACGATGCATTTTGTAATCAATGGTGACTCAAGATCAGGGACACCCAGTAATAACAACAGTAACAACAGCAGTAGCAGCATCTGATGCTTATAGATGCCTACAGGGAGGCAGGAACTTTGCAGACACCATCTACTTTAATTTTTATCTTCATTTTAAGGGCTGAGGAAACTGAGTCCCAGGGAGGTCAAGCAACTCACCCACAGTCAACTCTTTTACCACAGGTCTGTGCTTGCTCTAGCCTGTGCTCCTGGGGCTTCAGAGGTTGTGTGATGTAAGGTCTTTTCCAGGACAAAGCCCGCCCAAGGGGTTACAGAACTCTGGGTTTGGCGAGGGGAGGTGGGGGAGAAGTGATATGATAGGCCCTTCCTAGACTCAGTGCTCACCACGGGAACCGACCAGGGTTGGGTGGGTAGTGGAGTAGGGGATGAAGAGTAATGAAAGAATTAAAGGGAACCTGAGGCTCCCCCTTCTCCAGCTTCCACGGCTGCGGGAGAATTCTTAAGGGGCAAAGCCAGCTCCACTCCCCACACCTCTGCCCTCCCCTAAACCCTCAAGCTGCCCTTGGATGGTTCAGAAATTCTTCCACTAGTCTTGCAGATGGAAGAAGTCTGCCCTCTTTGAATTCCTCCTCACCTTTATCTTCCTCCCTGCTTTCTTCTTCCTCTAAAGGTAGGAAATCTGAGATCTTGAATCCACCAGGTTTCAGAAATGGGAAGGAGTAGGCACCTCTATTCTAGGCTTTGATGTACAAGAGTTTCTAATTACTCCTTTGGAAACAGCTTTAAACACCACGGACAGTTTTGAGTTGTGCTTTTTTTTTTTTTTTTCCTGGAGAGAAAGTTCTAGAGGACGAGGGTGACCCAGTGGGATCCCAGTTGGAAAAGGTTACATATTGTTGCCCCCATTGTATAGATGAGGAAACTGAGGCTCAGAGGTGAGACATCTTGCCCGGGTTCTAGAGCAGATCTATCTGATTATTAAGTCTTTGCTTCTTCCATTGCCATTGGCCAGGACTTGGTTTGCACTGGGAACTGGGCAGAACCAAATTTTAAAATTGAGAGGGAGATCCTGCCCATCAGGATCGTAGTGTGTGAGTTGTGTGCATGGAGAATGGGGAAGTCTGACCATTGAGTACTCTCTTGATCTAATATTATGTTGATTGAACGTTTTTTTAAAAAAAAATAAGTAAGCGATTGAACAAATAACTCTCTCACTCATTCACCACACTCAGCCTCACACCAAGCTTTTTCCCACCTCAGGGCCTTTGCACTGGCTGTTCCCTCTGCCTGGAATGCCCTTCTCCCCAAATATTCACATGGTTGATTCCTCTCTCTTTAGATCCAGAATAACGGTCACCTCCTCCAAGTGGCTTTCCTTGAACATTTCATCTTAATGTCACTTCCCCTCAGCACATCATAGCACTTATCATGATCTATAACTATCTTTTTAAAAAATTAATTAATTTTATTTTTTGGCTGTGTTGGGTCTTTGTTGCTGCATGCAGGCTTTCTCTTGTTGGGGCGAGTGGGGGCTACTCTTCGTTGCCATGCGCAGACTTCTCATTGTGGTGGCTTCTCTTGTTGAGGAGCACCGGCTCTAGGTGCGCAGGCTTCAGTAGTTGTGGCACGCGGGCTCAGTAGTTGTGGCTCGTGGGCTCTAGAGTGCAGGCCCAATAGTTGTGGAGCACGGGTTTAGTTGCTCCGCGGCATGTGGGATCTTCCTGGACCAGGGCTCGAACCCGTGTCCCCTGCATTGGCCGGCGGATTCTTAACCACTGCACCACCAGGGAAGTCCTATAATTATCTTTTGTTTCGATTTAATTCCTTGTTTCTTGTGTGTCTTCTGCCCTAGAATGTTGACCTCACAAGACCAAGAATTTTTGTTGTTTTTTCCCCACTGCCCTATCCCTAGCCCCTAAAGTAGTTCCTGGCAATAAATATCTGTGGAAAGAAAGAAGGGCAGAAGGAAACAAAGAAGTACAGGCTAAATGACCGAGGGAATAAATGAATGTATACCTATAAGGTTAAATAAATGAAATGGGAATAAAAGGGACTTTGGGGAAAAAGGACCCCAAATTCCCACATTTGGAATATAAAGGAAGTAAGATTTAAAGAAACAAAATGACAGTTATTTTATTTTTGTTTAAAAATCCTTGAGTGAGGAGAACTGAGAAATTTTGTATAAAAAGGTCCCCTACTATTGCTAGGGTGAGTGTTGGGGGGGCAGTCAGAGATAACAGCATTGAAGGGGTGGGTGGAGAAGAAACAGGGCTTAGGGGCCTGGAAGCTGAGAGTGGAGGGTGGCGAGCAGGGCTGCCAAGGGAGCGAGCACAGAACAGTGGGGGTGGTGGTGACTCAGTCGTCCCATTCATCATCCTCATCGTCATCGCCAGCCTGGTCCTCCCCTTCGTCTAGAGGGAGAGAGAGAGTGGAACTCAGGATGGGCAGGAGGGTTCAAAAGCCCTAGGGAGGGGGGTTACTAGGGCCTGGGAGGTTGGGGCTCAAGACCCTGGGGGACTGAGATCTCATGCTTGGAAATTAGATCTGGGGCCTGTGTGTTGGATGAAGAAGGGACCCCCTCAGAGGAGGGAGATTTAGGGGCAAGGTAGGGACTATAGCTGGGGTCTGGGTTCTAGTTGGAGTCGAGGTTAATATTATTGTCAAAAATGTGTGGTTAGTTGGGATATTATTGTCATACAAAGGGTTGATTTTAACAGACTTATCACTTAATGGGGTGGATTTAAATATTAGCAAAGGTGGAGGAAATTACAATATTATGGTTTCATAATGGGTTAAGGTTAACCCTGTTGACACGGAATGGGGTTAATGATGATGTCATGGTCAAAAGATGAGGTTCGTTATGATATTGTCATGTAATGGATTCATGTTTATCTTGTGAACAGACTCTGGGGTTGATGTTAGTATTATTGTCAAAGTTGGAGTTAATTATATTATTGTTACATAATAGGTTGAGGTTAATATTATCCTCATATAATTGTCATATAATGACAATATTGTTGACACATTAAGGGATTAATGTCAACATTATTGTAAAAGATTGGGTTGGTTATAATATTATCACATAATGTGTTAAGGTTAATCTGTTGACACATGGAGTTAGAGTCAATATGATGGTCAAAGATGGGGGCTCCTTATTATCATCACATAGCGGCTAATGTTAATACTATTGAACATATGGGATTAATGTTAATACTATTGTCAAAGATAGATAGAGTTAATCATATTACTGTTACATAATGACAGTTAACATTGTAGAAAAAGAGACTGATAAAAGATTCATGTTCATGCTCTCATCAACATATGGGCTAATGTTACTATTGATGGTGGCTGTTAGGGGTGTTTTTAGGCTGACACTAGCTGGGAACCAGGGTCGGGGTCCTGGCAGGATGGGCTCCGAATGCCAGGCTCGCAGGGGAGGGGGGGCTCTCACCCGAGGAGT